ATATATATATATATATATACACACACACACACACATACTGTAGGTTACCTATGTTGGAGTAAAGCCCGAGCCTTAAAACTTAAGGCTAGGAATATTCTGCCAATTCGAATACCCAGGGAAGATGTTGAATCTGGAAAATTAACCAAACTCATTAAATTTGCAGCTTTATTGCTTTCCTGCTGATTTAAATTTACTTAACAGGCAATCAATTTGTAGGCAAATTGTCTGGATTTCACATAAAAGAACTCTGAAGAGCTAGAGCATTTAACATTAGGAGTGCACTAATGTATGAACAGCACCAGTTTATTCTTCCATGTCTTTAATAAATACAGATAAGATTGCCCTTCTCTGCTTCGTCTTGGACTGCAGTAACAATCTGCAGGTATAAAAGTTCATAAATTATAGCCACAGTCAGGTGGTCAGTCCCCAGTTTGATCCAGCTTGAAATATTTCAGCTGCAGTTACATGGATTTTGATGTAAAGCATTCATAGTGGAGGATAAAGCGTGCTGATTCTGGCGATCTCCTTACTTTTCCTTTACTGTTACTGCATGCTTTTTGTACATGCATTGCATAATTGTGAACAAAATATTCCCTGCTAGAACTACCTCTTCAGTTCCTTTGGATTACTGACCTCAGAGCATGTTCGAAATAGAAGTTTTACATTTCTGCTTCACTGTTGCGGCCTAAATACAGAGTAAAACTATTAAAGTTGATGACCCACTCTTCCCTTTCAACAACTATTCCGCCTTTGTTGAACTGATTATTGACTCCTCTGCCTTTGAACTCTGTCCAAATGCATTAAATGTTGGCTCTTTTCGCCCAGATTTGCAAAATGATATCTGCCAAACCTGCCGAGCTTCTGCTGACCCCTCTTAGCCAAGGTCAGCATAGCCATGCTCAAACTCGAGACATAATCCATTTTCTTTTGCCCTGGCACAGCTCTACTGACATGATTGTGCTGACCCAGCCAGGCCAGAGAAAGAGGAAGTGAGAGAGTGAGAGGCAGAACGAAAGAGAGAGAGGGCATCTCAGGCCCAAGGGCATGACACTGGGGTGCTCGGGGCCACACCAGCCCTTTAAATGTCAACACAGCACAGAGGGGAGGGAAACTGGTGAGGAGCGGCGCTCTGTTTGAGGACAGGAAAGAATATTGGCAAGTGATTTTTTACTGCAGGAGGGTGTTAGAAGCTGGCACAACGCAGCAAAAGATCTGGGACGGGCGGGGTGTTTTGTCTTCAGACATATTCGGTTTAAACGCGAGTCACACACAGGTTTGAATATTCTCTCTGGGATGAAGGGAGACATTTTGAGATCTGTGATTTTCAGAGTAAGTGTGACTTCAAAGGAGGGTTAGTGTTTTGTCTTATGTCTGTTATCTTGGGAGCAGCCACTGACCTTTATGTAGGGAAGTACACACGGTACCTAATTACTCTGCCTCAATCTCTTTCTTCCTTTCTTTTAAATTAATCACTCTTGCCTTCATTAAGATATCACAAGATGGGATCAATTTTCACCCAAGCTTTTGGATGCAAATTATAGTCAAAAGTCAAATTAAAAGTGTTGAATGGAAACTGTAAAAAGAGATAAAGTGTCATTGTTTTCTTAAAATTAAAAGCAGGTTTAAGAGTTTTTCTAGTGTTTCTTTAAAAAAAGGGGGGATTAAACCATCAATTTTGATGGAAACAACCCAAAAACGCCATGCGTCTTCCTGCCTGTAGTTCCTGATTTATATTGCGGCTTTCATTGGCAGTTCTTGATAGTATCGTTCTTGGCTCTTTTTTCTCACCCCCATTTGTCTCTTTGTCACTTCTTTCCTTTCTTTTTGTGAATCTGCAGGTCTGAGTCCATCACGTCCTCAGCCAATCGAAGCCTTCGTTAACAGCGGCGTGGGCACGTGATTGGAGGAAGGATGGCAACCATGCCATTTGTTAGTGAGGGGAAATGTGTGAGTGTGGAGTGGGATTTCCTGCAAGGACTACTGGCCAAGCCTCCCACCCTGCCCTGGTGAGACATCTCTCACACACACACAAACACATGCACACACACAGGCTGAAACTGTATAAGCCTACGTGCATGCCCATGAATTAATCTCTGCAAGATGGAATACATGCATTAACACCCTTGCACTCACTGACAGTCTGAAGAAGCTTTTCTTTTCTTTTTTTTTTTATCAACGAAACATTATCCAGAAACATACGCTTTTCTCCTTAGTGCTACATATCACCTGTATTGTTGTTCACCTGCCAATCCTGTCAGAGTTGCGAGTCCCCCACCCTTAGTGGGAGATTAAGTAAATTTGGCTGGAATTATTAATGGGAAGTAATTTACAGGCGGATATAAAAACTAAGCAGAATCAATGTGTGTGTATTGATTGCTCTCAGTGGCCGGGGTCGAGGCAGTATAATAATGAGATGTTACACAGGCTGGCAGCATGAGTCCACACACACACACACACACACACACACACACACACACACACACACACACACACACACACACTGATTTCACTTATTAGAACCTAACAGGGAGAAATGCAACAGCTGTGTCAGCTGATTAAGATACAAACATATGTAAGCACAATATGCGCACGTCTTTCCTTTGTTCTTTTCTTCTGTCGCACGTGTATGCGCGCACACTCACTCACTCACACACCACCCGGTGGTCTGTCTACGGATGAAAATCAACAACACAGACACGAGGGAGAATGGCTGGTTCTCCTCTCTCTCTCTGTGTGTCTCTAACACACACATACACACACACTTTATCCCAGCGCAGCACCGACACAAATTGTGAAGTGGCTGTGACAACATAATTCCACCACTCAGGCCCCATTGAGGAGAGTCAATACCCAATCACAGAGACAGGCTACCTGAGCCCCGGCCCCCCTCTGTCACTCTGCCCCTCCCTCGCCTATTGATCCCTCAATCATGGCTTCAGCTCACTAGCCCGGGACCAGATGAGAGGGGGAGCTGGGGCGGGGGAGGAGAGGGTGAGAGGAGCGGGTGAGAGCGAGGGAGAGTAAGAAAAAATAGGCAGTGAGAAATTGTGTGTATGTGTTCACATATGGATTTTGGAGCAAATGGCATTATTAGGACTCTGCTCTGCCCGATAAAAGAAGCGAGTTTGTCTGTAATTACCAGGCCAATCTGTGAGAGATGGGTCAGAATGGAGATTGTTTCACTTGAATTGCAGGAGCCATTCCCATTATGTGTATTTATGAAATGAGTTTTTCAGACTGATGCTGAGGTCATTTTTACAGAGCACGAATCAATCAACAGGTGGTCGGCAAATGGCCATTAAGCGATAGCCCATCAGTTTTTCTTGTCTTGCGTCGCGCTGATTCAGATTTGTGAGCCCCTCTGATCCTTTCTCCCTGTGTTTATCTGTTCCTTCATTTTACTTCTGTCTTTCACCCTCTGCACCACTTTCGCCCTTGTCCCGTTCACCCTCATACCAACTTCCCTGTCCACATCTCAGTCTCCAGAACCTGCGTAAAGAGAAATCTCGCAATGCGGCTCGTTCTCGGCGGGGGAAGGAGAACTTCGAGTTCTTTGAGCTGGCCAAGATGCTGCCACTTCCCGGGGCCATCACAAGCCAACTGGACAAAGCTTCGGTCATCCGGTTGACCATCAGCTACCTGCACATGCGGACCTTTGCCAGTCAGGGGGACCCACCCTGGAGCCCTCTGCTGGAGGGAGACAGCAACTGCAGCAAAGGTGAGCAAGAAACAGGGAATCACCTGAAAAGAAAAGTTTTTGTGACTGAGATATTACAAAGAAGATGACGAAGAAAATTTAGGTTTTATGTTTTCAACTAAAAGAAATTTGTACAATGATCTAAACCTTCTAAATGTGGGTTTCACATTGAAAATGAAGCACATTCTGGTGCACCATTTTTAAAAATGTAACTTAAAAACAACTTTTTATGTTTATTTGACTTTAACATCAAATGTAGAAGTAGTGTGTTTGCATTAAGATTGACTGAATGAGTTTTAGAGCTGTAGACTCAGTACTTTTCCTTTTTCTCTTCTTACCAAAGTTAACGTTTTCTCAGAGCCTGGGATGGGATTGGAAAAGTATTATGCTTTCCAGCTGAGTAACAAAATGCCCTAGTAGTGACATACTAGTGAATAATTGCCTAAAATATGATAATCTAGATAACACATTTTTAAGGCCTTTTTGAGGGTCTTGTCCTTGAATTAAAATTGTATTTTAAAAAAACATCCTGGTAACAGAAAATATCTCTATGACTGGTTAAGTGTTGACACTTTTTCTGGGTATGTCACGAGTAGGTTGTTGTTATCTGTTCACAAAATTCAACCTTGACAAAAGCAATGTGCAAATATGCAGGATTAAATTAAACACGCATATGTGGAACACTTTCAGCCAGTGATTCCTACATTTCAGCCAATATGAAAATTATATAGCAGAGATAAATATGCTGCTTTGTTGCCAAAGGACGCAAACCACTAAAATTCATATTTCGACTCACTTCTCTGTTTCAATCAGAAGCAGACCTCAGCTGTCTGTTCTGCCTACGTACTCCTACCCACAGTGACACCCCACGCCACAAAAATTCAGTTCGGACTGGGGTATTGATCCAGCCTCCTATTAACAATAGTAATTACTGCCACTGTCTATGCGTGCAAACAAGCTCATGCGTTTTCTTTTTTCCCCTGTAACACACATGCAAATAATCATAGAAGTATTTTACATAGACAAGAGTGAGTATGAATAAAATCTATGTTTTTTGTGTGTGTATGCACATAAATATTACTCATATTATAGACAAAACTCCAAAAACATGTTTTCCTTATGTGGAAAAAAAGCAAAGTCCCTATAATAGTCATTTTAAAGTGAAGACCCATTTAAGGGGGAGGTCAGGTTCAGGTTTCAGGTTGTGATTAGATGAGTAGTAGCAGTAGTGGTTAAGCTTAGATCAAGACTCCAGGTAATTATTGTAAGTCAAATTGATGTCCTCTTAAGTTAGGGACACGCAACTGTGTGTTTGCGTGTGTCTGTGAGTGTGTGTCTATTAGGAGGGAGAAAGAGAAGGAGAGGGGGTAGATAATAAAAAAGAGGGAGGAAACTATTGGTGCAATTTGTAATTACTGAAATTAACTATATAACGAGGACAGTGTAATTATATAGCCTGTCTAATTGCTACTATTACTGAGGGGAAATGATGCAGCTACAGTGCAAATAGACGTGTGTGTGTGTGTGTGTGTGTGTGTGTGTGTGTGTGTGTGTGTGTGTGTG